GACTTCAAGCCCCTGTTGGGCATAGAGATTACTTCAAAAAATTTAAATAAACATATTCTTTTTAAAAAAACAACTTTATGAAGGTATGATTTAAATACCATCAAATTCACCATTTTAGGTGTACAATTCAATGCTTTTTAGTAAATTTACCAAATTGTGTAACCGTAACCATAATCCGGTTTTAGAGCATTTCCGTCACCTCACTGTGATCCTCATGCCCTTTAAAAGTTCATTCCTGGGGCGCCTGGGTGGCTCGGTCATTAAACATCTGCCTTTGGCTCAGGTCATGATCCCAGGGTCCTGGGATCGAGCCCCACATCAGGCTCCCTGCTCGGCGTTCTGGAAGCCTGCTTCTCCCTCTCCCACTCCCCCTGCTTGTGTTCCTTCTCTCACTGTGTCTCTCTCTGTCAAATAAATAAAATCTTCTTTAAAAAAAAATAAAAATAAAAAATAAAAGTTCATTCCCATTCCCAGCCCCTGGCAACCAATAATCTACTTTCTGTCACTAGATTTGCCTTTTCTGGATGTTTCATATAAATGAAATCTTTTGCAGTTGGCATCTTTCAGTCAGCATCACGTTTTTGAAGTTCGTCTATGTTGTAGCAGGTATCAGTATTTCTTTCCTTTGTGTGGCCAAATAATATTCCATTGTATGGATTATGTCACATTTTTATCCATTTACCAGTTGCTGGACATTTGGGTGGTTTTTACTTTTCAGCTGTTCTGGGTAATGCTGTGTGATCGTTTGCCGGCACATCTTTGTGCAGGCATATTAAACCTCTTATTCTTGATAATAAAATTCTGTTTCTAGTTCCTAATTCAAAATGTAGCTGGGTTGAACTTTTTTTTTTTAAGATTTTATTTATCCATTTGAGAGAGAGAGAGCACTCGCACGTGAGCGGGAGAAGGGCAGAGGGAGAGGGAGAAACAGGCTCCCTGCTGCCCACTGAGCAGGGAGCTGGAGCAGGAAGCCCCATGTGGGCTCAATCCCAGGACCCTGAGATCATGACCTGAGCTAAACACTTAACCGACTGAGCCACCCGGGCACCCCTGGGTTGAGCTTTTTATAATCCTAGGCCTTAGCCCCTCCAAAAACCCCTCCAAAGCTAAACTGGCTGGTTTTTCTTTCTTTTTTTAAAGCCTCACTGGTCCTTTTTCTCTGAATCACTGGCTTTTGATAGAAAGGAGGCTCCCCACTTGTTAGAAAAATGTTCTCAACTCCTGCTTTCAAAAAAAAGAAAGAAAATAGAAGGTGTCATTCAAGTTAAGGGGCACAGACTCTGCACATGCCTTGTGTGCAGACCTGTGTCAGGGGCCAAGAAAGCCAACTGAGAGGAGCCCAGGAGCCCTGAAGACCTTACAGTCAGGGAGTAAAAAGCCAGGGAACTAAGCCTGTGGTATACCCTCAGCAGGCAATAACGAAGGGAGGTCTTAAAGTTATTCTCTCTTCTCTCACCTTCTTTGATAAAGGAAAATTATTTTTAAGAAGTGCTATTTAAAGTCTCTACCCGTTTTTTTTTCCAACAAAAAAAATTTCCACTTATGCAAGGAAGTTCGTCTTAGCCAGAGTTTCATGCCTTTCCCATGTACAGGTTATATGCACACCCCTCTCCAAAGAACAGCAGCAGGAAGCCCTCAGCAGCCACTGTCCAGGGCAGCCTTCCACCCTTCATAGCGCTTTCTCCTCAGCAGTCTCAGTTTGGCTGTGTCCAGGGTCTGGGAGCACACAATTTCATGCAGCGGCCTATTAGTCATCTGATGTGTTACACAGTTCTTATTTGAAACCAGATATTTTACTCCTGTTGAGTCTGCACTTAGTCTTGTGTCTGTTTGCCTCTTGCACACAACATTTCATTTACATATTTTGAAGTAGTTAACCCTCTCCTTTTCCAAAGTAAGCTTGCTAGTTCAGGGGTTCTTATAACCTACTTCGATCCCTGGGTGGGATCTAATCCTTTGGAATGGAATCATTGGGATGAGACTGTTAATGTAGCCAAATACTGGTTGGTTGCTTGGTTGGTCGGTCAGTTGGTTGGTCGGTCGTTTGAACAACCACCTGCACCCTGTTGGCACGCATGAAGCTTGTAGTTCACCAAAAACTCATCTCTTGGATTCATAAGCTGGGTCTTCCCCATTCTGTACTGGAGTCATTTTGTTGTTGCTGAAGCATGTATAATTTACAGTTAACCTTGTTAAATTTTATCTTACTGGGGTTTTTTTTGTTGTGGTAAAACATAGATAACAAAATTTACCATTTTAACCGTTTTTAAGTGTATGGTTCGGGTGCAGTAAGTACATTCCCATGGTTGTATAATCATCACCACCATCTGTCTCCAGAACATTTTTCATCTTCCCAAACCAAAACTCTATACCCATTAAACATTATTCCCTATTTCCTCCCACCCCTAGCCCTTGGCAACCTTCTGCTTCTACTTTCTGTCTCCCTGAATTTGACTACTCTGGGTACCATATGAGTGAGATCATATAGTATTTGTCCTTTTGTGACTGGCTTATTTCACTTAGCAAATTGTATTCAAGGTTCATCCATGTTGTAGCATGTGTCAGAATTTTTAAGACTCATATTCCATTGCATGTATATACCACATTTTGTTTATGGATTCAACTGTTGATGAGCATTTAGGCTGTTTCCACCTTTAGGCTGTTGTGAATAATGCTTCTGTGAACACAGGTCTACAAATATTTGTTTGAGTCTCATTGATCTTATTAGCTTCAGCTCATTACATTCTGCCCCTGTTTTGTGTCATTGGACAATTGTCTGCAAATCAGATAAGCTTGATCTCCAACTTTTACCCAAGTCCCTTGTTTTTGTTGTTGTTGTTTATTTAAGTAAGCTCCACGCCCAGCGTGGAACCCAGTGTGGGGCTTGAACTCATGACCCTAAGATCAAGACCTGAGCTGAGATCAAGAGTTGGATGTTTAACTGACTGAGCCATCCAGACGCCCCTTCCCAAGTCCCTTCTTTATAACAGTGTTGTATTTCCTATTGATCTGAAGATATCATTTTCATAAAATGGCCATTTCCCCCATTCTTTCTTTTTAAAATTATAACATGGTCTTCACAGCTGGGCTCTGGGAGCAGCTGCTTTCACAGATTCAGCCTGAGTCTAAGCTTGCTTTTGGATCAAGTCTAACATGGGTATGGGGGGAAATGAGTCAGATTAGGCTGGATCAAAGTGCAAGGTTTGAGGGGGGTTTGTTGTCTTTCTGAAGGCCACTTAAGACTACACAGAAACTAATATCAGGTATCAAAGGCAGGAACTTAATCTTGGGGTGACCTGATGCGAATTGAATTTGTTTGCTCCACAAACATTTATTGAGCTCCTACTTGTGAAATCCACAAAGTACTTTTGGGAATCAGAAGATGAATAAAACACGGTCCCTGCTTTCAAGGTGATTAGAATGCAAACTATCGGAAGAACTTTCTTTTGCAACCCAGAGATCTTTAAGCAAGGCTTCATCCCATAGCTGTAAAATATACCTCCTTAAGATGAAGAGGATTACAAAATACATCAAAAAGCAAAATGTGCTCTGAAATTATGTTTTAGTATAGCTGTGTTTTAAGCAAGGATTTGGGGACAGGCTGAAAAATGGAACAAAAGCTTCAGAGGTATTTAGGTTTCACTTTGGCTAATATAAGAGCACCAGGAAAACAAAAAGTACTCTTGCTCTTGACAATGTAAAATTCTTATTATTTTTAGGAATTAGTAACTATGCATTTATGAAATTCCTTGTCAGAGCAATTTAGTTAATAGGTATGTAAATGACTAGTTATTTTATTGTGTAGGTGGATCGCTCCATGTACACTTTCTGAGGAAGAATATAAGTGCTAAAAACTATTCACATTGCAAATGCAAAGAAGAAAAGTTAAAAGTTAGAATGCTGTACCTTTGTTGTATTAGGCATTAGGAATGAGACAGAGAAGATCCATCTTGTCAAAATCTGTTCAGTTCACTCAGTGGAATTTCTTAGTCACATCCAGCTCTAACTGCCTATTTTGGATACAAGAAAACGTGAGTGAATTGGGTGCAAGGTAGTTTCTTGTTACTGGTCTTCAAGCCTGGGCGCAGGATCATTATAGACCTGGCTGGGGGGCTGGGGGGGGGGCACTGAAAGCAAATGCCAGGGCAGCAGAGATACATTTCCATGCGAGATTTGCAGTCCAAGGCATCTAGTGAGAACGGCCCCCAAAAACCACGGGGGTGGGGGCTGTTTTAAAGGTCACTGCATTTTCAGCATGAAAGTAATTCAGAGGAAGTTGGAAATTCCAGAGCCCTTCTGGCTTTAGCCACCCCCTGTGGTCAGCATGGAAGCTTTTATCATTTTTGAGTTAAACCAGGCTACATCTGGGGGAAGAAGTCACCATTGGGAGAGAGTAAATGGGCCCTGCCTTTCAGATGGTCTCTGGCTCTTCTTTCCTCACTTGAATTCATCCTGCCCAGTGAATGAGCCTCATCTTCAGTTGTGTTTCAATCACTACATTCCTCTTCTTTGAAATTTCCGCAGATTCTTAGTTGTCATGCAGATCCAATTAAAATGCTTATTAATGGACAGACCCCAGGCTTTCCACCGATTCGCCCTTCGACCTTCTTACCTAAGTAGTCTTGGCTCCCACTACCATCAGTCCACCTTCTCCACAGGGGGCCCACAGACAAAACACTCATCTGTGTTTTTTCCTGTGGCCTATAGCTCATGGAATTCCTGTTTCTGCCTCTCTTACTCATCAGGAAGCTGAGTTCTTCTCACTTGCCCCTAATCACCTGGCTCTACACAATTGTTGTCATAGGCATGTGTTCCTGGACGTGGCAAGTGCTTAACGTCCTGTAGCACTGATGACCAGACCAGGGCTGTGTCCGCTTGCTCAACCGCCCGGCTCTGCCAGGGAGCACGGGGCTGGCGCTGCACACTGAGAGTGCTTCTTTGTTAAAATGTTTTATGTGTTTTATGTGTTTGCTTTTGCTCTTGTTTTCCTTTTCCTTCAGGTGCAGAGTGAAGACAGTGTCCTCCTGTTTGTTATTGCCTGGACAATCACAGAAATTATCCGTTACTCCTTTTATACTTTCAGTCTATTAAACCATCTGCCTTACCTCATCAAGTGGGCCAGGTAAAGTACATGGGATGAAGATTAACTTTTGAAATGACCCATCACTGTATTTGTCCTTTATTGCTAAATATTGCCTCCAAACTCCTAAAAATAAAGTTGTACAATGTCAACTGTATTTTAATTTTTTTTCTTTAATTGTATGAGACAAAAGAGTTGGGATTGGTGATATGAGACTGGTCTGTGGATTTCGTCAGGATAAGGGATGCCACTTAACTTTGATTAATAGAAACACTTTTAAGTTTGATATACTTGTTATTTTTATTGGATCGATTATTTTCATTTAAATTATTCAATAGAGATTTGATGTAACATCCCTTTTTTGTTCCTATCAAATTTTACTGATGAGCTCCTGCCATTATGCTTTTTGGACCAAGTCCAGTTCTCCTAGTCTCAATTTTGCCAACAAGCTATGACTTCATTTTTAATTAACCAACATTACGTGCAGTTTTATCTTGTTAGCAATTTTATTTTGCTTTGATAAGTTTTACCAGTAATATTTGTTATGAATTGGGGAAAAGGCTGACAGTTCATCTGTTTATCCGAACTAATTCATGAGATGGTTACGAGCAGTTTTCTGAGTTGGAGAGGATTATGGAGAGTGACAAAGCAAAAGGATCAAAATTGTCCTTGGGACCCAAGTGCCTCATTTCCTAGAAGGAAAATGGTGGTTCCTAGACAACTTATGAGTTTAATGATTAAATTAGAGACATAAACCAATTGTTTCCAACATTTCAAGTGTGCAAACTCCTTTCTTTTTTTTCCCGTTACACAGTTTTATTAGGAAAAGGGAAGAGTGGGAAGAGATGGCAGTTCCTGACTCACCAGGCTGGGCAGGCATTGTGGGAACTGTCTGCTCTGTTACAGGGAGAGTTGGCTGGCCAAGCCCTCATCTCGATGGTTCGTTTGTCCACGGCTGTGCGTGGCCTACGGAAGAATCTTCCCGTTCCACCGTCCTCTTTAGCATAGCTGAAGTTGGCAGCAGGGAACACCGCAAACACAGCTTCCGCTCTTTGTCACTGATTTCTCAGCACAACTTCTGCACCTGGAATTTTGCTCGCTGTCAGCCACAGCCAGAGCTTCTTTAAAATTTGAGTGGCTGGTTTCTTTAGCACTACTTACCCCTCAGAATGATTTCCAGTTAGTTCCATAGGATGAACTTCTCTCTGAATTCTTTTTGAAACATAGAGAACTCCTTTTTGAAGTGAAAAAAATGGTGTGGATTCTTCTGTGTGATAATCATTGTAGGGGTTTTTTATTATTGAAAAATTACACAATTACCAAAAGCTATTGTGAATTTTTTAAGGTTTTTAAAATTGGCATATATTTCATTTTTCACGATGATAATGTATAGACATTTGACTAATAGCAGTATAAGCACACCAGCTGTGCTATTCTTTTCAGCCCACAGACCAGACTTGTGGTGTGCTTTGAGGGGATTCCTAGACACGTGCTCCAACACCTCCCCCACCAACTCCCTGCAAACCCCCCAGCTCTACTCCCACCCCTGCCACAGGGCAGGACCCTTCTATAAACCGTGACTCGGCGCCCCTACTTTACTAATGATTGGCATCATCTGTATTATTTTAGGGAGTTGTATTGAATGTTGTTTATTTAGTTGGACCAAATTTTGAGGCCAACCAAACCCATTTATTTTAGAACATTCAGAGACATACCTGCTATAGGCCCTTTTCAAAAACTGGCTTGTAAAACCTGAATTTAAACAGTGGGTAAACAGGGGCGTCTGGCTGGCTCAGTAGAGCATGCGACTCTTGATCTCAGGGTCATGAGTTCAAGCCCTGCATTGGACATGGAACCTACTTTAAAAAGAAACAAACAAACAAATAGTGGGTAAGTAGGAAAATGTAGAAATCATAGCTTCCTGAAAGACCAGTACTGATTAGAGGGGTGGGAATGTATCTTTCTACTCATGCTGGCTTCAAGCCTCAGTCATGAATATTTTGTTTTGTTTTAGGTACACACTTTTCATTGTGCTGTACCCAATGGGAGTGTCGGGAGAACTGCTCACAATATATGCTGCTTTGCCCTTCGTCCGACAGGCTGGCCTGTACTCTATCAGTCTACCTAACAAATACAATTTCTCCTTTGACTATTATGCATTCCTAATTCTGATAATGATCTCCTACATTCCAAGTAAGTAAACAGTTCGTATATTTATTTATGTTTTTAAAATTGGCTCTACAATAATTAGAGTCAAATGCCTTTGGATGTTTTTATACCATATCAAGTAAATGTAAATTTAATTTATTAGGAACGCTTTGGTTTTTATTGAATGCTGACTGTCAGAGGGAATTTTTTCTAGTAGTAATTGAATAAAGATGAACCCTTCTCAATACAGCTGCCAAAACGCAGCCCTTCTCAGTGTGTGGGTTTGAAACACTGAATAGCAGGAAAGGTGAACTACCTATTGGGGGAATGTGTACCCCTTACAATGATTATCACACAGAAGAATCCACACCATTTTTTTCACTTCAAAAAGGAGTTCTCTATGTTTCAAAAAGAATTCAGAGAGAAGTTCATCCTATGGAACTAACTGGAAGTCATTCTGAGGGGTAAGTAGTGCTAAAGAAACCAGCCACTCAAATTTTAAAGAAGCTCTGGCTGTTTGTGGCTGACGGCGAGCAAAATTCCAGGTGCAGAAGTTGTGCTGAGAAATCAGTGACAAAGAGCGAAAGCTGTGTGCAGAACAAAAAAGGCCATTAAAGACCTTACCTTGACTTTTTCTGTCTCTGGAGAACTGCTTGTTATGGTATTTGGAAAACATTGTAAAGAGGTATTTGCATTTTCATTATATCAAAATAGACACTTCATTTATAAGGAATCAGCAGCTAACTAGAAACAAATTAAATAAAAATAGATTTATTTTTTTCTATATTTCTTATTTTCTTGTTTGGATATAAGCACTAAAATCATCTGAACAGGACATAATGTTCTCTTCAGAACAGTTTCCAGTTATTTTAATAGTACTGCTAAAGGTTTAAATACGGATAATCAAAAGTGCCTATCAGCGTACTCAGTATCAAAGAGAAATGGCCATGTTTGAGGCTTCTGTGAAGTGAGTCCTATTTGCTGAGGAAGAGTTGTTTAGTCCTTTTCTCAAATTCTAATATTCACTTAAAATCCTATGACTGATTTTCACGTATCCAAAAGGATTTTGTTTTCCCCGAGGACATAAGAAGTTAAGGTTTCTTCTCATTTAGCTATTTCTGTAGCCATTGTCACTGTGAATCTTATTTTGGTCTATAAGATGCTATATTCTTCCCTAAACCTCAGGTTCAATTCAGACAGGAAGGTTGGATTTTTCTCCAGCCCACAGCATGAACTGAATGAATCATCGTAACAGTCGTAAGCGACATGTTTGTGTCCCTCTGTGGAAAATTGCATTTCATGCATTGTGAGAAAAAAAACTACATCCAGATTTCATATGAGCATTTATCTTGGAGAAATTCTTGGACAGCAGTTCTGCTTAATGATTCATTTTCCACTCTCTATTAATTATCAAGTCCTCCTCTTTGGTACTGGAATCGTGGTGGCCAAAGGCCTTTTCTCTTAAATTGAAAAAGGTAGTTGATTTTCAAAGAAAACAAATAGGGAAGAGTCTAAAAATTTAATAAAAATTAGCTTACAATTGTTCATCTTTTTAGTTTTGTTCCCTTAGAGTTTCATTTTCCAGTCTCTAGAGCAACAGTTCCTACTTGGAGTTTTGCCACACCCAGAGTAACACATATTATCCCAGTGGGTACCACAGGATTTATTAAAAATCAGCATAAGGGACCGCCTGGGTGGCTCAGTCGGTTAAGTATCTGACTTCAGCTCAGATCATGATCTCGGGGTCCTGGGATGGAGCCCCAAGTCAGACTTCCTGCTCAGCAGGGAGCCTGCTTCTCCCTCTCCCTCTGCCCTTCCCCCCTGTTTGAGCTCTGTTCCCCCCCTTCTCTTCCTCTCAAATAAAATCTTTAATAAAATAAAATCAAATCAGTATAAGGTTTGAATAAGAGATAGATGCCAGACTGGATAACTGGAAAAGGAGCAGGGATGGTGTGATGAAATCAAACCAATAGCAGGATGCTGCCACATTGACAGAAATCTGGGACCCCTACCTGAGAGTTGCTCTAAGATCTTAGTCTGCCAAAGAAGGAGGGTCCTCATTCCAGGAGCAGCTCTCCAGGACAGCCTCAGTCTCTCTCTACCTCCTCGTTTTTTTTGTGCTCTGGTGGCCAACCATCTCCCAGTCTTTTGCCTCTGCCTCCTGACCCCTTGATCTAGTTAAGGGGCCTGGTCAAGCACAGCAGCCCTTCCTAGTGATAGGATTCATGAAGGAAAACAAACTCCATTCTGTGGGATTTTCTTTCTGGGCCTTCAGATGGAGAGAGAAGAGAAAACACAAAAGAGTAGGGTGGGCTCTCAACCCAAGTTGGCTTTCTTTACCTTGGTTCCTTCCCCTTCTTTGTTTCTCAGCCTCCTGTTGGTAAGAACTTGGGTGGTGAAAGTCTGTATTATTTCTTTCTTAAGGTAGTTTAACTCCTATAGACCAAGACAAAGGGTTGATTTCAAATAAAGATGAACAGATTTTCTCCCAATCCCTGACCCCGCACCCAGGCTCAAGATGACGGCCCAGACCGTATCTTCTACAAATCAGTTGTGTCTGCTGGCACTCATTATGCCTTAGGCCTGAGCCAGTTGTCCTGCATGTTTTTAGTTGTTTAGGTTGTTAATATTAAGACCAGTTTGTACAGTTCATTCCAGCCAGCAGCACATGTCCAACTTTCCAAAACTTTGTATTTATAAGAAGAAAATGCGGAGTTAAGAGGGGTTGCTATTTGACATCCAGTCTTCTTTACCAAATTTGGTTTTCTTTCTACAATGTAAGTTTCTTTTAATCTTCTTTAATGGGAAGTTGGTGATATGCATGTATTATACAAAATAACACCCTTTCATTGTTGTACATGTGGCTCAAATTGTGGCCCATGAGCCTGGACCCCAGGAGTTTTCTCATATTGGGGTGCTGTGGAATCCTTTGCAAGGTGCTCCTTTCCCACTTTGCTGCAGCTGCAGTATGTACAGTCTCTCCAAACTCGGTAGACATCTGAGTCCTGTCTACATTTCCTGCCCCCCAAATTGGTAAAAGTTGGCTTTTACCACCCAGTAGGAGTGGGGATTTAAAAAAAAAAAAAAAAAAAAGCTGAGAAATGAGAAACACTGGTGTTGGATGAGGGCACTGAGAAGCTGGGTGCTGTCCAGATTGTCAGTAACCATAACCACACCTCAGATTTTTAGAGACCAAGAAAAAACTTGCCCCAGGCAGAGCATTTCCATTTGCTCTCAGCCTCCAAGTTTTCCTCTGCCTAGAGAAACCCCTACTCCCACTGCAACACTCGCATGCACAGTGACCGTCTCCATTCCATGTGTCCTCCTGGATAGGGAGAGCAGAAGGTAGAATTCAGAATAGCCTGTTGTCAGGCTGAGATTGTTTGGGGGTTTTTCTTCATTGTCGTCTATGGTGAAAAAGAGTAGCCATGCATCTGGAATTGTTTCAGCTGTTACGGTTGGGCCAGTCTAAACATGTGGGTAATTCAGATGGAGACAGTGTCACCCAAGTTCTGGTCACCAAGAAGTCATTACTAGAACTGTAGAAAACCTCCGGCCCAAGTGCCCCCATTCTCCTGGCCTCGCCCACACACGTTCCTTTGCTTGGTCCTTTACAACCTCTGAAGTTGTAAAGAATTGAAAGAGCCATATCTGCCCTCCATTTCTGACCTCAGGCCCTTGCCTGTGGGGATGAGGGTACTCCACCATCTTGCTTTAACTGCCACCAAGGGCCTGATGAATGGTTTCTAGGTCATCCTTCCCCAGACCCTCTGAACTAGCAGGGAAGCTTTAGCCACTCCTGTAACCGGTGGAAAAGTCCTTAGTGTACTTTGCCACAAATTTTCCCTTTAGTAAAGCACATCTATAGAAATATGACTGGCCCCAGATTTTTAAATGATTGCAATTAGCATTCCTTATGGTTTAATTATATCTTTACTTCCAGTTTTTAGATTATAGAGCTTGTCAAATTCTCTGGCTTTCATACCAGAATAGTTCTCTCCCCTGTTGAATTCTATGTACAAGCTGAGTCTTTTCTCTGAATAACTTCCTGCCTACAAATAGCGAGTGGACTGGATGGCAGCCCTGTTCAGCGTCGGAGCCTCCTCTGAAGTTTATCAGATCTGTGTGCACACACCCACTGATGTCTTGGAGTACTTTGGGAGGACCACTTGAAATTTGGCCAACTTGGAACCAGTTTAAAAAGGAAGAAACTGTTGGGGTGCCTGGGTGGCTCAGTCAGTTAGGTGTCCGACTCTTGATTTTGGCTCAGGTCTTGATCCTCAGGGTCGTGGGTTTGTGGGGTTTTGTTTTGTTTTGTTTTGTTTTGTTTTTTTTAAAGGAAAAAACTGTCAGGGGAATCGTAGAAATTACCTCCCCAGAAATACAGGTTACTTTCTACAAAGTGGAGATTGGAGCCGTTGAGAAGGGAAAGGAAGGAGGGAAGGATAGTGTACATTTAAACCAACTCACTAGGGTTCTTACATAGGTGTTGAACCCCCAGTTCACAGTAGCCTTGTGAAGGCAGGTAGCTTCAGCTGGCTTTTCCCAGCAGGAATCCTGTAGGCATTTGGGGTAGGACAGTTCTTAGTTGTGGGGGACCGTCACACATTGCAGATTTTGGCATTCCTGCTTCGTGTGCTGAATGCCAGTAACCTCCTTCCTGCAAATCTACCCCCCTCCCCCCAGCTTCCAAATACTCCCAGGGAGGTGGTACCACCCAATTTCTTTAGAACCAGTACTTTGTAAAGTAACCTGTGAAATGACCAAGAATAGGGGCACCTGGGTGGCTCATTCAATTAAGTGTCCAACTCTTGATTGCAGCTCAGGTCATGATCTCAGGATTGTGAGATGGAGCGGCACTCAGGCTCCATGCTGAGCATAGAGTCTGCCTCAGATTCTCTCTGCCTCTCCCTCCCCCCTTCCCCCGCTTGCTTGCGCCCACACTTGTTCTTTCTCCCTCTAAAATAAATAAATAAAGTCTTTAAGGGAAAAAAAAAAAAAATGACCAAGAACAGAATCTCTAGTGCCTAAGATATTAGCTTACTTTTCATAAGGACTTTCTACAGCCAAATTTGGCTTCTTCGTGTTCAGATAAAATGTCATGGCCCTCTTCCCCCTCCTCAGTCTTCCCCTTCACAGAACAACCTTTCTCGGGAAATGCTTTTGGGAGATCCCCTCAGGTGACAGAAGGGACTAGACTGAGTGTCAGGAGCCCAGAGCCTGGTCCTGATGGTCAGGAATTTGCTGTGAAATCCCAGGCAAGTCACCTATCCTCCCTGGGGCTTGAACTCCTCCTCTGTAAACAGGAATAGTAAGTCCATCACTAGAATTCACCTATTTGTAACGTCAGAGAATAACTGCAAAGATACTACGAGAGAGGGTAGAGTGTTATTTGGCGGCTCTGTGGCATCTCGATGGGTAATGATAGTGATGGTACTGTGTGTCACTCCAGTCCGGACCACCCTTCCCCTTCAGCTAAAGCAGGAAAAGGTAAGTCCTTGTGCATTTTTCCTACCCTTACCCCAGCCCACCGTGTTCCCTTCCTTGGTTGCTGGATGAGAAAGTGAGTCAAAGAGGACCCCAAGTCCATGTGCTTTAAGGAGAACATGCAGTTTTAAATGATCTAGCTCCTTAACCAGTTCTTTCTTTTCTTTCAGTTTTTCCCCAGTTATACTTCCACATGATACACCAGAGAAGAAAGGTCCTTTCTCATACTGAAGAGCACAAGAAATTTGAATAGCTCCTGCTTCCTGCGCACCCCCAAAAAACAAACTTTTCAATGACAAAAAATGCTGCAGACTTTTTGAGTTCCCAATACGTTTCATAGAAAATAAGTAAGAACTATTTTTAAAATATTAAAAAAAAAATAAAAACCAAAATCCAGTGTCACACAGGCCTGGGATTTTATTTAAAACAACAGCAACAACAAACAACAACAACAAAAACTATTACATAAAACATCCTGGCCGGTCCATTTCAGCATGCTCTTTCAACCAGAAGTTCCCAGTATTTATGATGGTGCTGGAAAGGGATTTGGCGTTTTATATCCTCCTGTTTCCTTCATGTATCTGATAAGTAAAGATCTGTAATACTAAATACTTGAGAGTTACAGTCTGAGTAAGGAAGTTGTACCAGCTGAATGCCCAGCTTGCAGTAAGAGTTCTGTTCCAGTCTGCAGTGTGTTTCGCATTCCCTTTTCAAAGTGCTTGACTGCATGCTGGAGACTGTATTTTTGAAGCGGCAAACTTTGTTGTCTGGAATGTTAAGAAGTTATGGCTGGGATCTATCTCCCCCTATCTAATGAATGAATTATACCATGTATATGTCCATGAAGCTTTGGGGTAGTACCTGTAATCTGAAAACAACTAGAACCCTTTTGTTTGTTTTCAGTTGAGTCGTTGCAGCCTGCCACTAAGAAACGTGCTCGAGTTTAATAAGTATGTGTACATCGTAGAGAACGTATCTTATCTAGGGCTCAGCCTCAATCATATTTTAACACAGTGACAGTTCTCAGAAAGGGAAAGCTCAATTGCCAGTAAATGACGAGTACCTTTCACCGTGTCATTCTCAGAACACATCTGAGTAATGTATTTACCCATAGCTATCCTCACTTCTGGACCCAAAGCCAGGCTAGTCACGTAAGGGGTAGAGAATCTGTAATTGAAAGCACATGGAAGGTGTTACTTTAGATATGTAGACCTGAAGAACATTTAGGAATAGGTTTCTATACCCTTCTTACTTTATTTTTAAATGTCCTTCAACTCTTCGGTTAGGATCCTTTTCCTAATTACGGTCCTGTGTAATCCCCACCACCCTGTAAGTCCAGAGGTGGTGAAGTGCCCCAGTCGGGCAGACATGAGCTAAAAGCGGTTCCCTCTCCCATGTGTGGGAGCGGCCTAGAAATACTTTGGTCATGTGGACCATGTCTAATTGCCGTCATGTTTTCATACCATTTAATTGCTGAACTGTGCATTTAAGACTCTTGAAGAAAGGGTTGATGAAAATGTAAAGCCCAAATTCAGATGTGCATTAAATTTTAAACACAGAATGTTCTTTGTGGATTCTTTTCTCCCCCCCCTTTTTTTTAAATCATTGATCTTTAAAATTTTAAAGGCCTAGCTTACTAGCTTACTGAGTAGTTATTTAAAATATAATTGCTAAAAAAAATAAATAAAAATAAAATATAATTGCTAATATCAGAAGAGTGTCATAATGGAAAACTTATTTTTTAAATTAGTTTTTAAATTATTTTCATAGAAGCCTGATAATGAAGATGAAAATGAGAAGAAAGTATGGAGCCTAAAAAAAAAAAGAAAGTATGGAGCCTAAAATTTATTGCAGGCAGATGTGTAATAAAATTATTTTTGAATTGAACATTAAAATTCTGCTTCTTTAAGTCAGCACTCTTAACTTGGGCATGTTGAGACTAGAATCTGTTCTTACACTTCATAAACTAAATATAGAGAAAAGATTATTTTTCATGTTTTTTTTTTCTTTTTCCTAAATGTATTTCTGCTGTAAAATAGAAACAATTTGAGTTATATTAGTCTTAATTACTTAGTTTGGGTAAGATTTTTTTCAGTCGTTTCTGGAATAGTTATAGAAGATGGGGTGAAAAATACAGGTTTTCCAGGATCGGATTGGGGGTTTTATTCGGGCCTCTCTGTTATAATTTGTCACTATTTATGAAAAATAGTCTGTCGCAAACAGTGGTGTTACATCAAATTGAACTTTGGCAGCAAGAACACAGCAAGCAACTCCCTCCTCAAAGAGGGTCTCCACTGCACTGTGTATTTTTGTCCATCGACATTTAAGATGCTCGTGGCAGATAACTAAGGCATGCACTCGGCCATGTCCTTCATTCACCTCTCTCGGTAACTGGTTGCTTTATCTCTGACATGAATTAATTTCTCCTTTGAAGTGGTGGTGTTCTATGAATTGAGAACATCTAACCCCACCAACTGTCACATCTTACAAAGTGTGAATGAGGAAGGCAGTGTTTGGTGGGTATTTTGTCAGACTTCTCGTTTTCATTTCAGGACATAGTCAAAGGCATCATCTGCCCCACCGCCCGCCTGGTTGGGTGTTTCAGATTTCCCCCTTCGGGGACCACCTTCCGGCAGAGAATTCTTTGAGGTATGCAGTAGTGCTTTGTAGACACAAGCTGCTAATCTGCATCTTGCTGTGTTCTGTTTGCTCAGGTTGGGATCACTCATTTAACACATACTCACCATTATCAAAGGCACCATGGAGAGTTAGTCATGGAATAAAGCACTGTCCTTCCAGATAAAATCCATTCCTCTGGAGTGAACTTCCCACAGAAAGGGTTTAGAAGAACTAGAGGTAAAGAGGCATATGAAGATGGTGTCCTCATCTCTACTGGTTTGTTTGGATTATTCATTTATAACACAAGATCGGCGCTGATGTGGTACAACCTGCAAATTACTTTCAGTTCTGAGTTTCTAGATAAAACATTATAAAACATTAACATCAGTACATACTGCTCCTTTGAAATTTGGGTAGAAAATTATACAACCATATATATAGTCCATTTTTGTATTTTTTCTATGTTGTGAAAACCAAAATTGTAATTTTATAAGTCTTTGATTCACTAAAATTATATAATTTAAATGTATTTTTTGTATATTTAGAAATAAGGAGTTTAAAGGCTATGCCTAACTTTCTATGCATGCATTTGAAGCTGTTTTTACCTGATAATGTTAATGTAGTAATAAGTTGTATTCATAAAATACTGATCTGTGTTGCATTTCGAAATAAACTGGTGCGTGCTCTGCCTGGATTTGAAATACCAGTGCATCTAGTGATTTTTCACATTAAGTTGGCCTGAACGTGGTGTTACAGGAATATGGAAGAGTTTCAGTTTTGTCACGGATTCCAGTTCTTTCTTTCATAGGTTTAAAATCTATTTCTGTTATTCGTAATGCACTTACACAGGAGAAATAGATTATATTAAGAGGTTTCCAAAAAGTCGTTCTTCCTGCCAGTCTTCAAGCTTACCAAGCCCCTCTCAGCCTGGCCCCAGAGGGACAAGAGGGACTACTCATGTAAGCGACCAGAAGTCGGTAAACGATTGAGGATCCTTGTCTTACAATGTTTGGGGTTTTGTTTTGTTTTGTTTTTTTACAATGTTTTTTTAATCTAACTTTTCTAATATAAGTTAAGAAGGGAACTTTTGTTGTCTGGCAATGTTCATCTTATATTAAAACAAGATGTGGTCAAGTACCTCCTGAAAATGCCTCCAAATAGCAATCCTAGGAACCGCTTCACCCACTCTCAAGTTCATTGTAGGAGGTGGTGGGAGGGACACGGGCAGGATACACCCCGCTCGGCCGCTTCCGTCCTGCTAATTCTAGACCCCAGGCCTCTTCACCTCAAAATGAAAGCACTGATGTGTCCATGGGATGGGCATTGTCTAGTGGGTGATCCCTGAGTGATCTCCTTCTCATGTGCCTCCAGCGGTTAACATGCCCACTGCTGGGTCGGCCAAGTCTTTCTCAGAGTTAATCATCAACCGTTGTCCAAGACTGTGGTCCTTGTTCCAAAGGGAACGTTTTCTTTCTACCTGCTGTCTGAGCACAGGCTTAAGACGTTAGCAGCACGGTGGTTGTAGAAGCACTCCTCGTGTATGCAATCTAGTCTCTTTCAGAGATGGGCATTTCATTTACGAAAAGAATCATTTCAACTAAAGCTGAGGAACAGATGGTAGAGTTAGTAGTAGAGGCTACCCAGAAAATACAACCTTCACTATCTTAGGGTGGTAATGGGAAACCAGGGCTTTCTAATTTGTCATTGTCATATTTTGTGGCAATTATGTGTACTGTGTTAACATAATAAGCTCTAACCTGAGGAGTTACCATTGGTATAAGTGAGAGACCTACTGTTACACACAGTGTTCCAAAAATACCGCTGTGTTGTTCTGTTCCCTTTAACAAGAATGGAGACTAGCTTTGCAATTCCTCATATTATTAAAAAAAAAAATCCCAACCTTACAAATGGACTGGCTCATTGTCATACAGTCTAGTGATGAAGAAACTGTTCTAAGCAACTCTTACCAAAAATAGCCATACCTGTTAACACCCCTGCCTGCCGCTGAGAGCCAGTCACCAGAGAGCGCTGCGTGGGTCTCTGACCAACGCTTCCTTGTAAGTGTGAGAGACTAGTTAATCTTTTTTGCTTTCAAATTTAGAAAGCTACTCCTTAGTGTTACTGGGGCAGATCTCATTACCAAAAATAATTTTTCCCCCCAGGAAAGGCAGTTCACCCTAAAAAGTCCCATTCAAAGAGCAAAAATAAAACATGAGAAAGGCTGTGTATATTAGCACCCAGTACCCATTTCATAAATCTCTAAAGGTTCGGAAGTTGCATCTCTGCTCACTAGTTCCAGAACATAGACTTGTGAGCACGGCAGCACCTTCACATCTATCTTCGGCCTTCGTGGACGCAGTCCAGATGCATTTCCAGATACCGCACTTGGTTGAAGGCCAAGCTCCGCTTCTGCGTTGTTGTAGCTGGGCTCCCCCGCTGGGAGGCAGCACCTCACAAGCGATCGGGGCCTTGGAAGTGTGAGGCGTTTGGAACCGGGCTTCAGCCCCACGACGCGGAAGGGGCTGAAAGGCACAGCAGTGAAAATTAGGCAGGGGTCTCTATTGTCCGTATAAAGAAAAGGCAGTCAGATCTTAAAGCATATTCTGGAGGGGTCCAGGAAATAACACTTTTTTTAGAACAAAGAAGCCAGCTTGGATGTATGTTTTGAAGGCTCCATCTATTTGTTCTCTTCCCAACGCAGAACCCTCCCCAGCATGGACCCTGCAGGGCTTTTGGAGCTGGTCGGAAAGCAGGTGTTAGTGCTCCTGTTTAATGGAGAGCCTGCTTGTTAATCTTTGAAATGTTCGGGGAGGTCAGTTCCCACTCTTCTTCTGTCTCTGGATATTTTTGGAGGGTGGCCTGGGCCATGAGAAAATGTCAGGCCACCTTATAAGGCTGCGTCTGGCCCCGAGAATGCTTGTCTGCAGCATGTCCAGTACACTCTGGGGGTGTGAGTTAACTTGACTCTTGGACTGTGGGTTTTCTCACAGATGTAAAATGCTTCTATTCATGCCATGGATTATTCTTACTCTTTAACGGGCTTAAAGTCTTCCTCAAGAGAGAGCTATTTAAATGACACAAATTTTGGACATACCGGCTAGATAACCAAGGGTACATGTAATCCTCAACAAGCACACTAGTTGATCGTGCTGGGGTCCATAGAAAGTCTACTGCAGGTGGTTTCCTGAACTAGCTAGCGTATGTCAAAGTGAAATGCATAGAATATTGGTTCTGAGGGCGCCTGGGTTGGCTCAGTCGTTAAGCGTCTGACTTCTGCTCAGGTCATGATCCCAGGGTCCTGGGATCGAGCCCCGCATCGGGCTCCCTGCTCAGTGGGAAGTCTGCTTCTCCCTCTCCCACTCCCCCTGCTTGTGTTCCCTCTCTCACTGTCTCTCTGTCAAATAAATAAAATATTTTAAAAAAAAAGAATATTGGTTCTGAGTAATGATGGGAGGAGGACTGTGTGGGGGGGGCGGATTCTGTGGTTGAAAAAGTTAAAACAAAATTAAAGTTTTTTTCTCCTATGAAACTTTTCAGATCTATTTGCATGTGAATGCAATTTGTGAATCTCCAAGAGAGGGGGATGTTAATGCAGGATCTTCCAAAGCTATTTTCAACATTTGTCCTTGAAACATCTTCAGAGCTAAGGCTCCTTGAACACCTTGAAAAATACTAATCTGAGGGCGCCTGGGTGGCTCAGTCGGTTAAGCATCTGCCTTCAGCTCAGGTCATGATCCCGGGGTCCTGAGACTGAGCCCCAAGTGGGGCTCCGCCTCTGCCTCTGCCCCTCCCCCTGCTCATCTCTCCCTCTCTCAAATAAAATCTTCAAAAAAAAATACTAATCTGTTGTTGGCAGCTTTCCCCATGGGGGACTAGTAACCCATGAGGAGTGGGGGGACAATAAGAAATGCGGGCTTAGCCAGGGATATGGGAAGATTTTCCTTGTTTCTGTTTTTAATAATCCACCATCGTCAAGCAGATAAATGAATTGATTGAGAAGCCAGATGTCAGCAGCCCTGGATGGAGTCTGCCATTTGCTGCTTTCTGGTGGTGTCTGCCAGGGGCTGGGAACTCATGTGTCGGTGAAGACGTGGCTGGGACCGGCAGACCTGAGAAGACCAAGGCCTCAGGGGCTGAACACCCCGAGCTGGGAGCAGCCCAGCTGCGCCCCACCCGCGCCTACGCCCCAGCTTGGGAGCGCAGACTCAGGTGCCTGCCGGCACAGCCTCTCCCTCAAGCTCGCGTCCTCCTTGAGACTGCTGGTGTCCGGAGACCGTCTTCCACGCTGCACCCACATTCCCCAGTGTTGCCAGGGAGTGGCCGCGCTGTCCTGGCGTGCCCTGCTACCTGACAAGGCCTTAGAGCTCCTTCCGTTCTGTGCCCTGTCCTGCCCTGGCGGCTCCCCACGTACACCCTCACGAGCCAGAGAAGCCAACGCGCACACGGCGCGGAGGAAACCAGGCCGCACGGGAAGACGCGGCTGGGACTAGCCCTCAGCCCACGCTCTCGCACGCACACGCACGCACACCAGGGTACCTCCAGGGCTGTGCCCGGCTTTCTTCTGCCCACACGCATCCCAAGGCCTGGCTGAAGCTCCTAGCTCTCTTCCTCTGCTCCGGGTCTCTCTCCCTGCTTCCCTGAGCTCCGTGAGCCATGACCCCTCAACCTTCCCCAGCAGCCCTCTCGTGCCAGACTCCATCGTTCTCACCATCATCACGAACCTCCGTACCCTCCTGCCCTCCCTCTGCACCCTCGTGGCAAAACCCCAAGCTGGGATCAGTCCAGCTGCTACCCTTCCCTGTGCCTCTCCTGCCAGGGACTGCCGGCCTGGCACACTGTCCAAGAGTCCCTTCAAACCCCATCCTCCTTAAACCTCTGACTCATCTTAGCCCAGGAAAGCACCCCCAATGTCACCGAGAAAACAGCCATCAGACAGCAACTCCTGCAACTTTCTTGGCCAAATTATTATAAACTTGCCCGTACAAGAGGACTTTTCTTGTCCTACTGTTAGAATGGAAGGGTGACCCCCTAACCAAAGCTGACCCCTCCCTTGTGCTCTGGGTGTTTCCAACTTACTCCCCACCCCCCTCAGGGACCTGACTCTAGCCCTCTCTGTGCTTCCTCTTTGCCAGCAATTCCCATCGACTGCCTTCCCGGTCTTGGCCTTGACCCCTGTGCACTCCACGGCTACCCCCCCTCTCCTCCGGCTCCTTGGAAGGGTTGGCTACAAACACTTCTCTATTTCTCACCTCCCACTCTTTTCTCTTCTCACTACTGCCTGGTGCTTCCTTCTATGCCATAGCTCTGTTCATGGTCACTTGTGACCTTGGTTTGAAACCCAATGCACACTTTTTAGTCCTGGTCTTTTGGTTGAAATTGGGGTGCCATCATGCTGGATGTTAGAAATGATGGTATGGTTTTGGAGTAGACTGGGGGGGGGGGTCCAGCAGTACCATGTCCTGGGCCTGAACTCATTTCTCCCCCATGCATCCCTAATGAAGGTGTAGGCAAAAGAAACAAGGACAAAACGGCCAACAAAAAACGTAACGGTTAACTGTGGCATGAGCCCCAGGAGCACATTCTGGGAAGCTGGGCAAACCTCACAGAACACTCCTGCTTCCTAAACTAGCAAGAGGTGGTAAGTACCTGGGACTGAAGGAATTTGTGAGGCCTGTTCAACTCACCTCCCACCCCACTCATC